AAACAGCAGGCACAACGGGATTCCTGGTCCATGGAGCAATGTGGTTATAGTAGAGACTTGCCTACAGAGTAAAAGTGCTGAGTGCCTTCATTAGAGGTTTTCTGGCAGAATGGGGTGCCTCAGACACATATTAAGGAGCTAAATTGTTTTGCAATACTTGCCAGGACACAGCAAAGATTAGTGGTAGGGACCCAGCAACTGAGAGATAGATCTGCCTGCAGGCATGGGCCTGGGGAGCTTTCCTGATCAAAGACATTATTCTGATCCTGAATTAGAACCAGTTACTTCCCTAATAAACTCCATTATTTTGACTATGTCTGTGAATTCTATGTAGCCAATGTGTCTGTGCATTCTGTGTAGTCATTGATGCAAATTACTAAGCTCAGTAGAGAAGTAGAATGCTGGGAGAGAAAGAACTGGTAAAAAAGTTGCAGAGTGGAGACATGTCTGACCTCCACCTAACAGGAGTCAGATTATATCCAAATGATCAGAGATGTCATTGTACTTTAGAAATGTGAGAAATCAGTGTGTTGCTGGAGTGTGGAGCTAGAGAGGGGAGCCCTTGTAAGCCACATTAAAAAATTTGGTCTTTACTCTTAGGATAATAAGAAGCCTTTAAAAGGCTTAAGTCGTTAAAATTACAGGGACTTATTTGTGTTTAGAAAGGTCATTCTGGTGCCAAGAATGAACTGGAGGGGGGGGTAGAACCATGTGCAAGGAGGTTGATTAGTAAATTGTATCATCCTAGCTAAAGTTGCAGGACTATGCAATTAATTGAACATTAATGGTGAGGAAAGAAGAAATTAACATTGACTGCCAAGTTTCCAGCCTGGGCTACTGGAGATATCCTCCATGGGTTCCAATAGACAATAGCACTTCTCCAATCATAGTGATTATTACAATATATTCTAATTGTTAAAGGAGACAGGGACGCTATTTGTCATTTTCATTAACAATGCCTACCAACAATTCCAATTGTTGTGATACTCAAGCAGTTACAGTCTCTATGTCAAGCTAGCTTGTTGAAGGTCTTCTTCTCTTTCACTGACCCTTCACCCTTCCAAGCATGTTGTCCTTTCCCGAGGCTGGGCCTTCCTAACAACATATCCAAAATATGTGAGACAAAGCGTTTCAAGATATGATGAGGAAAAAAAATTAAAAAAAAATTAAATTAAAAAAAAAAGATATGATGAGGGTGGCATATGATATGGCAAGGTTCAAATCTACTCTTCATAGGATTGCTATGAGTGGTAGTCAATTCAATAGCACCTAACAACAATAACAACACAATTCATGTCTGACACTTGTAAGAATACTTACAGGCATTTCTCATTTACTGTGTTTCACTTTATTGTGTTTTGCAAATACAGCATTTTTCCAAATTGAAGTTTTGTGGTGACCATGTTAACATGTTGCTGCAAATGACGGCAAATGTGTTTCTAAGCACGGTCATCAATTTAAAAGTGTGCGGTAACGTGTTAAGCAAGCTTATTGGCACCATTTTTCCAATCACTTCATTTTCCTTTGTCATGTCTCAGTAATTCTTGTAATATATCAAGCTTTTCCAAAATTCCACTTATCAGACTATAATATAAGTATAGCTTTTATGTGCATTGAGAAACTAGAAATTTATGTGACTTGATTTATTGTATGGTCTGGAACTGAACCTGCAATATCCACTAAGGTATGTCAGTATTAATTTTTTTTTCCCTAGTACTGAATTTAAATGTAACTAAATAGCTGTTGTTGTTGTTATGTGCCATCAAGTAATTTGCAACTCATAGTGACTCTATGTACAATAGCCTTGAAACTTGCTCTATCCTGTGCCAACTTTACTGTCTCTAACACACCTACCCTCATTACCCCAGTCACTGAGTCAATCCATCTCATCTAGGGTCTTCTCTTTCTCTGTCCCACTACTCTTCCAAGTATGATGTCCCTCTACAATGACTGGTCTCTCCTTGCAACATGCCCAAAGTACGTCAAATGAAGCCTCAGAATCCTTGCCTCCAAGGATCAGCCTGATTTCACCCGCTCTAGGACAAACCTGTTTGTTCTCCTGGCAGTCCATGGTATATTCAGTACTCTTCTCCAGCACCACAACTTAAAGGCATCAATTCTCTTTCTATAATCCCTAGTCATTGTCCAGCTCTCTAATGCATAGCAAGCATTTGGGAAAACTGTGGCCTGGATCAGGCACACCATAGCCTCCAGACTGTTGTCATTGCTCTTCAGTACTCTGGAGAAGTCCCTGACAGCCAGTATTACTAATGCAACTTATCTTTTGATTTCCTGGCTGCTGGTACCAAGAGTGTTGATTGTGGAGCCAAGCAAACTAAAGCTATTAACAATCTCAATCTCTTCACTATCTATCATAATGCTGCTAATCGGCCCAATAGTGAGAATCTTTGTTTTCTTGATGTTGCGCTTCAATCCATATTGAAGGCTGACGTCCTTGACCTTCTGCAGCAAGCACTTCAAGTCCTCCTCAGTTCCAACAAGTAGAGTTACATCATCTGCATAACGCAGGTTGTTGATGAGTCTTCTTCCAATTCTGATGCCATATTCCTCCTCATACAGCCCAGCCTTCCAGATGATCTGTTCTGCAAATAAAATGAAAAGGTACGGAGACAGTTTAAATATAACTAAATAGGGAACTCTGGTTGCCTAGTGGTAAGGAGCTACGCTGCCAGCTTGAAGGCACAGGGTTTGAATCCACCAGCTGCTTTGCAGGAGAATGTGGGTAATCTCCTCCCACGGGATTTATTACCTCTGAAAAATCCACTAGAGATCAGCTAGCTATTAGTTGGTTTCCAACTTTATGGTGCATAAACAACAACAAAATAGTGTTGCTAGAACAGAAATAGATTAGTTTAGAGAAGCAGTTCAACTTAGAACATGTTGAGTTTAAAGATACCTGTGAAATCCCCAAATGGAAATCCTCAGTAGACAGTTCATTACTAGGCTGATGTTCCAAATAAGATTTGGACTAGTGAGGATATGGGATTCAGAAGAAAATGGAAGTCATTCCAACTGAGGAGAAAATGAGACTATCCAGGACTGTGTGGAGAGTGCAAAGAGCAGAAGATCACAGACAGACCCCTAACATTCAAGGACCTGGCGGAAGAAGGTCTTTTCTTATGTAACAGAAAATGAGCTGCTAGAAAGGTTAAAAAAAAAAAGTATACCTGCAGGGGCACACTTCCTGTTTGTAAAAGGAGATAGACGCCAATTGTGTTGACGGCTGTTGAGAGGATAGAAAGACTTTAAATGGATGTGCAAGATTAGGAGTGAACTTTTGTGGGCAGTGACCTTGGAAAGCTGAAGGAATTCTTTTAAGAAGTTTGAGAGATCAAAGAGGCAGAGAGAGTGTGGTAACTGAGAGTAAAAGGAAGTTTATCTACAGATGTAGGCAATTGGGATATGTTGAAACTAATGGAACTCACTTACTGAAAAGGGAGCTCTGGTTTCACAGTCTGTAGGGAATTGCACTGCTAACCCAAAGGCGGTGACTTTCTGGTGTTTCAAATTCACAGTCGCTCCAAGGGAGAAAGATAGGCAATCCTCCCATGTGATTTACAGCTTCCAAAAACCTGCTGGAAAGTCAATTAGGAGTCAGTTCTGACAAAGCAAGACAGTGAGTCAGATCTAGAGATCAATGAGATTTGGACATGTTAAAACTAATGAAAGGAACTTTGGTAGCTTAGTGGGAAAGAGTTGTGCTGCCAACTCAAAGGCACGCCATTTGAACCCAGAAGCTGCTCCATGGAAGAAAGATGTGCAATTTCTTCCCATTTTATTGTCTCTGAAATAGCACACAACAAACAACAACAATGGAAGGGAGTCATTAAAGAGGGAATAAAATGCAGGAGCTTCAAGGAAAGCAAAAGAGGATGGTATTTTCCAGCACTTGAACGTCAAATAAATTAGTACATGGTTAGCCATGAATGAATATGTACATGAATGAAAAGCCAGTCACTGGGGTGTGATTGAACAACAAAAAGTCAGTCCTTCCCCCTCCCCCTCAGTCACTATTTTGAAAGTGGCAGAGAAGAGTTGAAGAACAGGATTCACTGTGTGCTAAAAGTGGAGCAAACAAAGGAGGGAGGTAACTGAGGCAGAAACCCCCTGTTGCCACTCAGCCCTCAGGTCAGGAAAGGGACACTGGCTCTTGGACTTCACCAAGGGGAAGGAGCACTCACCCCACTTCTCCAGTCCCAGAAGACTTTGCCCTGTGGTGTGGTGAAAATGAGGGAAAGGGGGAAAGGAGTGGGTCAGATAAAATGGAGGCACAAAAGTGGATTTTAAGACCCCAGCAAGGTGGCAGGGAAATTCTCTCATCTTACTAGAGACCTAAAAGAAGCAGTCAGTTCCGGCTGAGAAGAAACTGAATTAGCCCGTCCCCCCACCCCATATGCTGTCATAACATCCTGTATTACTCTTCCAGAGTCTTTGATGTAATTATAATTTATCTATTTATTGTGTCATTATGTTCTTAGTTAAGGTCTGTGTCTCTTTAGTACTAAGGGGCCAAGGATTGTGTGTGTCTGACCTCCAGTGCCTAACCCCATTCCTTGCACACAGGTGATGTTTAATAATATATCATTATTAAGAACATGAATGAGTAAATGAAACTTCACACTGCAGTAGTACCCCATTCAAAAGGCTTATGTATAAAAGACCAATCATAGCAAGGCCACTCAGCTTCAAAACACCCAGTCCTGCATTTGGAAGATGTTCTCACCCTTCCTCTAACTCTGACCTCTGTTTCTCCAAGCCACTTTCCCTCTGATTTGGTCCTACTATTCCTCTATCTCTTTGAATCTGCACAGGAAGCACGCAGCTTTAGGTCTGAGGTCATCAGTAATGGAAACACTGGTACTTAAGAAAATTTAAAGCAGGGTCATAAGTTCTTTTTATTTGTGTCATTACCTCTAGTGTTTCTATCTTGGACCTGGTTCTTTCTCCTCATTTTCTTATGTCTGGCTCAAGGTTCTTACCACCACTTAGGACCAACTCTCCCAAGTTTCTCCCCCCAGTCTTTTAATGAACCTTACAAGGCAACTAAAAGAAAATTGCCAAGCTTGGCCATCTTCTCTGATTTCCTGCCTGGCTGGCCACACAGTGCTGCTGACCACATCCTCTCTCACCTTGTTCATATACTTCCTTACCAGACATACTATCTAGAAGTTCTCAGCCCCTAAAACTTGCTACTGACCCTTTACCCTGACTCTCTTTTTCTGCATCACCATCTCCTCTCACCCCAAGGTTCTCTTCTCCCTTGACACTGATCTTAGAACCATGTCCTTTTGTTCTGAGACAGTTAGCGCTGTCCCTTTCTGGATCTTTCATGTCTCCTTTTCTTACAGTTGCTAGTGCTGACCACAATGTTATCTGGCCGGTGGTGGTGGTCAAGTACTTGGGGAAATCTAGGACTGGGACCCAGAGGCCCTTCTCGGGGATCCCAGCTCTGTGTCCTTTATGCCTTCACTTACACTGGGGCAGATGGCCAGCAGGTGTCTCTGGCTGAAGGGGACAAGTTCCTCCTTCTTCGAAAGACCAACTCAGATTGGTGGCTGGCAAGGCGCCTAGGAGCACCCTCCAACTCTCAACCGATCTTTGTTCCAGCTGCCTATGTGACAGAGGAATCCAGACCTTCTCAGAGTCCAACCACCATTAGCTACAGCCAATCTCACTGGACTCGTGGTAAGTAAACCCTTCCCCACCAATTTCCTATCTTCTTTGCTTCTGAGAATCATTGAGAGAATTCTTTTCTATAAGCTTCTGCTGTTTCCTTTTATTATCCCTGTCCTGGTGTATCCATCTCATTGCCTCTCAGTTCAAGCTTCCTAGATCATATATCCTTTCTCACAGCCTATTTATCTTTCCAGTGGGCCCCTATGGATGGGGGATACTTCTGATCATTTACACACACACTCTCCCATTTCTTTGTTCCCAGGATCAAAGTTGTTTCATGGATCCCTGGAGGAGCTGCATCTGTCTCAGACACCTCACAGCAGAACTCAGGCTATGTCTGAGAAGCCACCCCCTCTCCCCCCAAAAATCTGTAGAAGTATCAGTGTTAACAATTTGAGTTCTGGTATCCTGAAGAACCAGGAAGAACCAAATGAAAGGTCCCTCTCCCAGAGAGACTTACTGACAGGGGCCGTAAATAGCATGGTGAGTCACAGCTCTTCTTTTTAGCATGGTTGGCCAAAAGATAATCACTGTCACAGTGGTGACCTAGACAGACGACTCCCTGCCCTTAAGAGATTCCTGGTGATAGATAAACCTGTAAACCAATAAGTAAAATAATCCTTGGAACTGCTAAATGCTTCAAAAAAAAAAGTAAATGTGGAACAGAATGACTGAGGTGGTCTACAAAGGCATCTCTGAGGAGGTACATTCAGTTGAATCTGAATCAGTTGAAAGAGGTAGCCGTAAAGCCATCTAAGACAGAGGGGACAGCAAAAGGCCCCTTCAAGACAACTTGAAGCTTGGCACAATAGAGGGTCCAAAAGAAGGCCAACCTAGCTATGTTTTTTCTCAACTCCTGGCTCAGGAGCACAGTTGTTCTTGGGTCCTCTCTTTGCAGCTCTGATCACCACCTTGTCCCTTCAGGAGACCCCTAGTTCTTCTCTAAAATTGACCCCTCTCTTACTAGAGAATGGAAAAATGGCCCCTTCCTTCCTCATTCTCCCCTCGCTGGGGTCTTCGAGTTACCTTTCACCTCCTAGGATGTGAGAGTGAGGCTTTCCTTCAAAATACACACACACACACACACACACACACACACACAGAGACACACTTTAAAAGCGGGTTCCCCTTTCCTGTGACCAAGTGGTGGGGGCGGGGTAGGGGAGGAGGGAAGTTGGAAACAGGAAGTGAGGAGAAAAGCAAAGAAGACAGTGAGAGAGGGGAAAAAACCCAAAAGGCAAATACGGCTGGGGACAAGATTTCTCCCTCAGTACCTGGGTCACCCCAGCCAGGAGTCGGTGGTAAGGAAACAGTGGAGGTTGGAGGAGGAGGAGCAGGAAGAAGAGGAGATGACTAGGTAGAGGGAAGATTGAGGAGGGGCGTAGATTGGATAACCACCTCTTTCTTCCTCTTTTCTGACAGGCAGGACACCAGCCCCTCATGTCAGAGCCCCCCGTGTACTGTAACCTGGTGGACCTTCGACGCTGCCCCCGATCCCCACCCCCAGACCCTGCATGCCCGCCCCTGCAGAAGCTGGACGCCTGGGAGCAGTACCTGGATCCTGTCTCTGGACGCTGCTTCTACATTAATTCACTGACAGGCTGCAAGTCCTGGAAGCCCCCTCGTCGCTCTCGAGACCGAGAGACGGTGAGACCTTCCCTCCTGTTTGACCCCTTGTCCTCTCAACCTTCCTCTCAACCTTCCTCTCCCCACCCTACCGCCATCCTATCCTCAACCTACCCCCACCTTAACCCCACCCCAGGCTCCAAGGTAGTGCGTTTTCTCTCTGAGGTGTTCAGAAGTCTGAAAAAAGTTTTACAATGTGGGAAGTAGAGTGCTGAGATTCAGTAGGGGGACATTGAATGTAACTTTACCTCTCTTCCCTCCCTCCCTAAACCCAGAACCGTGGCTCCATGGAGGTGATACAGACGCTGAATAAGGGCAGTGATGTTCTGCAACCTCAGACTAAGAGTTTAATATCAGACAAAGGGAACTCAGGACTACTGGACCCCCAGGTGAGATCCCTCTCACCTCCTATGCACATACAGCACATGTCAATATGACTTTCTCTTTAATGCAAACAGTCCTCATTATCCATCACATCCCCTTCCTCTCACCCACATTCGCACCCCTGTTTCCCCTACAGCCAGGGACTCCGAAGTTGAAGGTTCCTCCACCTGTTTCTCCAATCCCCTCCCCCAGGGCTTACCCAGCCTCTGCCATAGGAACTCCCAGCTGGACACCTCAGACCTGTCTGCAGCCTCAAGATCCTCTCGACCTCTTCCACAACTCCTGGAGGACCCCCACGTGAGTCTCTCATCTCCTTGTGAAGGACAAAATCCTTCACTCTTCATCTCCAGTTCCTATTCTCCATAACCATCTTCCATTTTTGGAGTTGCACTCGTGACTGAAACTCCGTTGAATTTCCCAGGCTGTAAATTGCAAGGAAGGAGATTGACCCATCTTTCTCCCATGGAGCAACTGGGGGATTCCAACTGTCAGAGAGGCTTGGCTATAGGGTGTGTAGCACAGCTCCCTGGGCACTAAGTCACTAGAGCTCTCTTTCTCCATTTTGCTCCTGGCTATTTGTCTTACTGAGCCTCTCCAACTTCAAAGGAGCTCATTTTGGGAGACTCCCTGAGGAACCACTTTGGCCACTGTGGGAGGTATAGGGTGTCACTTTGATGCTCCTTATATTTCTCAGGAGGTGGAAAAGTCGGGCCTGCTCAATGTGACCAAGATTGCCCAGGGGGGCCGCAAGCTCAGGTGAGACTCAAACTACTGTAGGGACCTGGGGTGAAGGGTAGTAAGGGAGAGTGTCCGCCCATGACATTCTGACCTTTTCACTACCACCACCATCCCCGCAGGAAGAACTGGAGCCCGTCATGGGTGGTGTTAGCGGGTAACAGCTTGGTATTCTACCGGGAGCCGCCACCGACTGCGCCCTCCCCAGGCTGGGTGAGAGGGGTGAGGGGAAGGGAATGGAGAGAACAGGGGTGTGCGCACAGTTTTGGCCTGCCTCAGGCCAGCTGTTAAGGTAGGGGCTGAGGATTTAAAGGAATTAAGGATCACAGCCTTCCGTCTCCTGTGGCTTATCTAGGTGAGAGCAGGCAGTTAAGTTTTTTTCCTAATTGCCAGGGACCAGCGGGCAGCCGACCCGAAAGCAGCGTAGACCTTCGCGGGGCAGCGCTGGCCCACGGCCGTCACCTGTCTAGCCGTCGCAACGTGCTACATGTGAGTGCCTGCTCTCTGCGTATCCCCAGACCTCCTGACCCGGGGGTGCCCCCTAGTCATCCACGTAGGCGTGTCCTCGGCCTCCCTGCTGTTGTCTTGTCGCTCCGTCTCCCTTGCTTTTTATGCTTCTTGCCTCCAAATCCAAGCCTTTCCCCACCGGCCCTCAGATCCGCACAGTCCCTGGACATGAATTCCTGCTGCAGTCAGACCAGGAGACGGAGCTGCGAGCCTGGCACCGCGCGCTGCGGGCGGTCATAGACCGGCTGGTTAGAGGGGCGAGGTGGGGTGGCTTTAGGGGCCATTGATGGGCTAGAGAGGGGCGAGCAGAGAGAACCGACAGCTCCCAGAGGAAAAAAAAAGCTTCAAAGCTCCATTGACCACGTGAATGTCAACAGAATGCCCAGGGGACTACAGGATTCCGAGGGCAGGGGGTGCAGGGTGGGACACAGGCTGGACTCGGGATAGAGCGGGGGTGTGGGGCTGGGAGGAGACCCCCAGCTAAAGTTTCCTTGTTGCAAAGTTGTTTAGATTTCCCTGTGTCTCCCTCCCACCGGGCCCGTCCGCCTGTCTGTGTCTAGGATCGAGAGAACCCCTTGGAGCTGCGTCTATCCGGCTCAGGCCCTGCGGAACTGGGGGAACTGAGTGCTGGGGAAGATGAGGAAGAAGAGGAGCCGGAGCCCTTGCTTAAGCCTCTGTGGCGGCTCAGCGGGCGCCGCAGCTCCGGTAAAGGGGCGGGCCGGGGAGGCGGGGACTGTGAGCTTGTCCAGCGCCTGCTCCGAGGGACTGCTCTTCTCACCCTCTGGCTCTACCTTCCTCCTACAGGTCGGTGTCCAGAAGGAACCGAGCAGAACCGAGTTCGCAGCAAACTAAAGAGGCTTATCGCAAAAAGGCCGCCTTTGCAAAGCCTGCAGGAGCGGGGTTTGCTCCGAGGTGAGATGGGGCCGAGAAAGATGGCACCCTGCCCCTGTGTGCCTCCTTCAGTGGTTTTTGTAAGCCTATTTCATGGATGTGAAACGGTCAGTGAAGCTCAGCAGAGAGCCCCGCAGAACTTGAACATTGGTCTTCTGAGACCACTGCTCTTCTTCAAGTGGTGAGAGGAGTCAATGACCTGCTTCTCTCAGCCATGGCACAGATGGCCAGGAAGAGGGCTTGTGCTGAGAATGTCCGCGGATAAAGCTGACATTAGCATTTCACCTCATTCTGTACCTCTTCAGACCAGGTGTTCGGCTGCCAGTTGGAATCACTGTGCCAGCGAGAAGGGGACACCGTACCCAATTTTGTGCGGCTCTGCATTGCTGCTGTGGATAAGAGAGGTCATTTCCCCAAACTCCCCAGAATCTCCTCTTTCAAAAGGCCACAGCCTAGAATATACCAATACCCTTACCCACACACACATCTTCTTATTCTAAGTCCACTGGCACCTAACAACAGCAACATCTTCTTGCTGCCCTTTTAAAACCCTCTCTACTTACAAATCTCTCCCCCCCAACACACTTTACAGCTGGAAACTTTATGTGTTTCCTGCTACATCTTCTAGGTCTAGATGTGGATGGCATTTACCGAGTTAGCGGGAACTTGGCAGTGGTTCAGAAGCTTCGCTTCCTTGTCGACAGAGGTGAGAAGGCTGGTGGGCAAGTAATGCTAGGAAGAGCTTGGATTGAGTGAGGGAGCTGACAGAACAGGGAGGTTTTCTGACTAGATCTGCATAACCTCAGCTCCTGATCTTTCTTCATGTGTGTTTCAGAGCGAGCAGTCACCTCTGATGGGAGATATGTATTCCCAGAACAGCCAGGACAAGGTACATAAACGCAAGACATTGCAACTTCTCATGTATTTCCCCATGCGTGTGAGTCACCCTGATCCCTACATCTGTTGTCTTACCTCACTGGGTCCACTATGGATTCCTATGGTCTGCCTTGACTACACCTTCTCCTGAACTCCTTATCAGTCTTTCTCTGGTCCTTCCTGAGCCCCCATATCTCTACCTCTTCAGAAGGACGACTAGACTTGGACAATGCTGAGTGGGATGACATTCATGTGGTCACTGGAGCCTTGAAGCTTTTTCTCAGGGAGCTGCCTCAGCCTCTGGTACCCCCATTGCTGCTGCCTCATTTCCGTGATGCCCTTGGTAAGAGATGGGACCTTTGGGCAACACCCTTAATACTAGGGGGATGGGAGTGGTGAAGAATACATTTTAAGTTCCCTCACACTCTTGGGTCCTATCCTGAGAGCAGGCAGAGATGGAAAATATTTTCAAGTCATGTACCAACCCAAGTTGCTTGTTTGTAAATATTTAGAGTACTGAGTGGAAAAGAATTCTAAAGCTGTAATTGGGCAGAATGGGAAAGCAAGCGGTGATTGAGTAGTGATGTTTTTCCATGGGTATGGAGAACAGGAGTGAATTTATCCAGCCTGTCTTAGCATTTTCCTAACCTCACTCCCATGCCCATCCCATCACTCTCTTTAGCCCTTTTGGAATCAGAACAGCGCCTCGCCCAAATACAAGAGTTAATAGGCTCAATGCCAAAACCCAACCATGACACTCTGCGGTACATCCTGGAGCATTTATGCAGGTCAGGAAGACTAAATATATTTTTCTTTCTTTCTTTTCTTTTCTTTTCTTTTCTTTTCTTTTCTTTTCTTTTCTTTTCTTTTCTTTTCTTTTCTTTTC